TTTCCTTGGAAATTATCTGTTTCACAAGGCTTACAGTTTTTCTCGAGCTTCGTTCTCGGAAAACTGTTCGCATCTTGGAACAGATAATGTTTGTGGACAAACAGCCACGCATATTTTCGTGCCAAATAGAGGCTATTGTTTAAATAACAGTTTTCTTGCTGATCCATTAGTCCGTACAAGATGATGTTGTATTCAGTTCATGATACATCTGTAGCAGCGCTTTTGTTAGCGCTTGATATTTTTGACAACAAATGGCCTGACTTCGCCGCTGATCTGGCTTTTGAGCTCTACAGAGATAAGGTAATGTCATGTCACTTGAAAAGTCATTTCAGTAGCTACGGAATTTTGTCGCGTAACATGTACCAGCTACCAGCGGCATTCAAATGACTTATTCGCAACGTTCCTCTAACAAACGAACCGAACTGAACGAACTAACCTTATCAACGTACCGAAAGTCACGAGTCACCAAGGGTATTTGATTCTAACATTCATAATCATCTTGGAAAAACTGATTAATCAGTTTCACGAGCCTAATTTAAAATACTAGACTGACAGTTAATTTCTTACCTGACTCTGACAATAACCTCTGCCCAATTTATCGAAATGTCGTTAACTGTCACCGACAACAGTCCTTTTCGATACATGGATAGATAGATAGATAGATAGATAGATAGATAGTTTCTGAAAAAACTGCATCGCAGCCAAAGGCTAAATTACGCAATTATTTACAAAAATTTTACAATACTTAAAAATTACAAATGAATCCTAGATAATAAATCGAAAACTGATTTTTAAGATAATATTAAAAAATTCTTTATAACATATTCATATAAATATGTTAAAATACAAAGCATAAATATAAGTGGAATGGTAAAACTACAGCCCGGACTGTTTCGACATCGCATATAAGCGTATTACTTGTTCTGTTCGTGCAAAGCTTTGGCATGTTAAAAAGGCGCTGTCTTCTTAGGATATAACGTGAGTTGACAAGGTCTGGTTGAAGGAGCGCCTTCAATTTATGGTTTGGATCACTGATAATGTTATCAAAAAGCCTGCTACATAGTACGTAATAATGCTCCAAAATGGGTGTTAACCCCACCTCTATTGCCGAGTTGCACTTTCCTGAGGTTATTATTGATATTGTTCTTTCTTGTTTCCCCGACGATCCGAAGACAAATTTAACATGAATTTAAAAACGGGTTTCCCTTCTCTCTCCCCTCCCTCCCCCCCACGCAAATTGAAAATAAAATTTAAAACGCCCGCCTTGAATTTAAACTGGTATAGCTGTGGTAGCGGCGACAAGAACATTTTGGTCTTTTGGTCATGATTTTTCTTCCCTTTATTTTTTCAGGATAACTGTTACTTTGTGCGGGTGTTATATCAAGGAGAGGTAATTTTTAGTTATGAATTCACCACAATTTTTTTGGGTCGCTTATGATGTATAGATTTTTTCCCTTTTGCCAATAGCAAAGAAACCTCAGCAGCAAATACCAAAACATCCTCGCTTTTGAAAAACGTAAATTCCAATGCTCACGGAATTGATCACCCCATAACTTGTTTTTTAAGAACGCCGGTACTAAGCATGCTACAAAAAGGACAACTAAACATTTCGTGGGTCAGAAGAATACCGCACTTCCACCAACCCTAATGTCCGTGTCAGTGAACCGGACGTTCGTCTTAGCATACAATTTAGATAACAAAACAGCTTTTCTTTATTGTTTAACACGTGCATGTGAGAGAGAGCTTGAGGGACGTCGTGTCTTCTTAATGAGTTCGTTGGTTTACCAAAATGTTTTCCATCAGAATGAATAATGATAAAGAGTAAACGCCAGATCTGCATTATACGTTAGAGAACACGCATTTAGCGTCGAGTTTGGCTGTTTTGTAAAAACTTGTAGGAAAATGAACGCTCTTTTACTAGTCGAAGTCTGTTTGATCATTTTAAAGGTTGAGTACTCGCATGTTTCCGTTCATCTATAGAAGAGCTACATAAAACATAACATCACATAACATAACATAACATAACATAACATAACATAACATAACATAACATAACATAACATAACATAACATAACATACGTTATTTGGTAATGCAGGTTAAGAGTCGGGTAGCCGTAGCTGGTGTTGGCCTGTCTAATACTAATTTTTAAAAATGTTACAAATTGAAATAAATAATACCATAATATTATTAATTAAAATATCTCTGTATAAGTTTAGATTCGTCAAGTGTCTAAGAATAGAATAACTATTATAAAGGTCTATGGTATATTGGATGTGATCCAAATGAAAATAATTGTAAATTATACAAATATATGTGAATGATAACAAAAAATAGTCTTAATCGATAGGGTTTTAGCTATATAAAGGCTTAAGAAATTCAGCGATATCAACCGTCGTGCCTTCATATCGCAAAATTTCTCATTAACAACTTCCGACAAGCTTGCACTCTTCAGTTTTACGGGAGATTGTTGGGCTCTGAATTCGACTGGCAATTTTATTTAGTTTGTTACTAGGACAGTTATTTTTTCAACTATAAATCTTTCTTTTTCTTTTCTTTGTTAAGGAGAAAACTCTTCCTGGATGTTCTGGCCCATTGTGTCCTTTGGAAAAGTAAGCAATAGATTACGAATGTGTTCAATTGATTAACGAATGTTATGCCTTGAATTTAATACAGAGCGTAGTTTACACCTCCCAGATAGAGTATGTCAGACAGTGTTTTCAATTCATTAACGAATGCTAAGCCTTGAATTTAATACGGATAGTAGTGCACACCTCCCAGAGAGAAACTGTCAGACGATAGCATTTTTATTTATTACGAGGTTTGCAGACATTTGCATGCAAGTGACCTGAAGGGAGATGAATAAATCTGATTGATTTTCGACCTAAGTCGACTTCGAATACGTATCGATCTCGTCTCAAAGAGAGTCTGGGAATTTCCAAAACTGATTGCCTGTTGCAACCATGTAACCCTCTTAACATGCAGGGGGCTTTATTTTGGAGATAAGAAAACACCATTTTTTTTTTCTTTGTCTGTGATGTCAACCTGTCACAATGTGAAATTTTAATTAAATCTTCGAGGCCGACTTTGGGAAGAAAATAAGATAAAACTTTAAAAAGAAATACTAATACGATTAATCAGGTTCAAAAGACACCGCCGTAAAAAAAAAAAAAGAAGAAGAAAAAAAAGAAGACGCCTTGCTCGGTAAAGTAAATAGTGAAAGATATCTCATTACAAACATGTAACTGACTCCTTCAACTTTGGATTAAAACGCGAAAATCGTATCCATTGAAATTTTCTTTCGCTTACCAAAAAAAAAAAAAAAAAAAAAAA